GCCACAGATCGACTCCTTCAGTCCAGAGCTGAATGGGGAAAGGCTGCGGCTCAGTGGCAGTGTCTGCATTGTATGCAGGTTCAATCCCTGGCATCTCCAGGTAGGGCTAAGAAGAGACCTTTTGGCTTAAGGGCTATAGAGCCACTGCCAATTAGTGCAGACAATACGGACTTACATTTCTGCCGTCATACAGCAAGTGTGCTACAGAAAGGACTCCTTGCAGAACAAAGAGCTCCAGGTAAGAGTCGGGCTGCACTTGGGCTTTGTGTAGAATGGATAGTCACTAAGAGCAGGACTTGGGAGGTTCCCAGGAGGGATGGAGGAGAAATTTTATTCAGTTCACATTTAAAGGCGAACCAGTCAAATCTGCACTTTCTGTAACAGCACGAGAACCAAAGTACAGTCATCCTTTGGAATTGGCACTTGCCCAGATTTTGAGATGCGGGTCTACAACCAAGCTTTACAAAAATGCGTAAATCAGGGGAAAGTTCACAGAAAAAAATGAATATATTTTTGAGATTGACATACAAAGATGCGTTGTATTCAAGGAAATTGCTTGCGAAAATGTGTACATTAGTCCAAACTGCATACAAACATGTGTTTATTAGAAGAAATTGGTACGAAAATGATGAATTTTTGTGAGGATCTTTTAAAAAAACGCTGCAGAGTTGTGGAGAACTGAAGATTGGAAGAATGAGAAAGTGATAGGCACGGGCAAATTCCCTGCCTCTCATCCACCAACTCTTTATCTGGCCTTTTGGGGCAGGTTGATTGCTCTCAGCCTCTGCCCTGCATCTTCATTATTTTGATGAAAATAATAACACCACTGCCTTGCCTTATAGGACACTGTCAGAAGCTACCAAGATAACACCTGCAAAATACAGTGGTACCTCGGGTTACATACGCTTCAGGTTACAGACTCCGCTAACCCAGAAATAGTACCTCGGGTTAAGAACTTTGCTTCAGTATGAGAACAGAAATCGTGCTCCGGCAGCGCAGCAGCAGCAGAAGGCCCCATTAACTAAAGTGGTGCTTCAGGTTAAGAACAGTTTCAGGTTAGGAACAGAGCTCCGGAACGAATTAAGTACTTAACCGGAGGTACCACTGTACTTTAAAAACTCAGAAGTGTTTTATTCATGCTAAGTAGGGTGATGACGATGCTTAAAAGGGAAGGGAAAGCACATCATTGTTATTAGTTTTATCAATGCCCATCTGAAAAATTTGTGCAAATCGCCGTTGTTGAGGGAGTGGAGGGCAGCCATTTTGTGCTGCTGGGTTGGGGTGTGTGTGGGAGAGGGAGCGGGGAATTTGTGGAAACCACAGGTGTTTAATTTGTTGTCCACCTTCAACTACAACCAGTGCTTTTTTTCTTTAAAAAAATGTTTAGGGGTACTCTCATGTTGACTCAAAAAACCCCACCATTTTATAGTTCAAATCAGGAAAGATAAATACAGTAAATGGACAAAAGTACGAAGATTCACAAAATGTTTAGGGGTATGTGTATCCCTGCACCCCCCAGAAAAAAACAACAACACTGACTACAATTATCATCATCCCTGCTGGATGGTCAGGCAAGCTGGGGATGAGGGGTTGGGAGATCAACCACCTCTGGAGCGCCACAACTGAGGCAGCTCTGGTGTAAAGTCTCCCTACATAAGTGTGTTCAACATGTGCACTGTTATGTATTCAGTGGTCTGTGTTTGCCTGAGCTTGAGTCTGGACTCAGGATTCTGAGCCCCTGTGTTCTGATATCCAATCACAGAACATTTCAGGATTTGGGCCTCTGCCATTGGCCCTTAAACTCTGAGTTATGATTCGCAGCTTAGAAGTTAAGACAGCCAATCATGTTGGGAGTGGGAGTGGCCCAGGCCTTCAGAAATATATATAAGCAGTTGCTTTGCCCCTGTTGTCAAGTTCTGTTAGTTCAATAAAAGCTCTTGCTGTTATCACTGTGTCTTGCCTCGTAGGAGCCCACCTACACTTCATGCACGACCGTGTATGCGTGTGGCACCGGGAAGTAATTAAATAAATCAATTCAAACTGTGGGTTTTTTAAAAAGGGTTTCCAGAGGTTTAGAGGGTGTTTACAGGCTTTTTAGATGCTATTCACCACTACACACAATTTCATGTATACATGCAGTACCCAGGAACACTTACCCTGCATAAGTGGGGAAGATGCCTTTATTTGTGTAAGTTTAGACCTCTGGCAATAGTAATCTCTCTGCCTCTTTCTCCCTCTCTCTCGGCAGCCAATGGAATGGAAATAAAGAGAGAGAGTAAGGGGTGGCTCCACCCAATTTTGACTTTGGCCCTGACCACATCTGGTCTGCAGTCCACCTTCCTAGAGAGTGTGATCCTCAACAGTAAATAAATAAATAAGCCACTGTCACAGAGTGGAATATAAACCAAAAACATAAACAACAAGGTACAATATTTAACCGATTGCAATATTTTAAGCGCTAAAAAGGATACCCTCCAATGAATTGGGTAGCATATTTAAAATGTTAACATTATTTTTAGAAGCACAGTAAACAGTATTAGAAGATTAGAGCGGTTCCCCTCCCCCATATGTAAATGCATGCACATTTAATCAATCAGTCAACCGGCACTCATGCACTTAATCAGTTTTGATTTTTTTTCTAATTGTGTGACAGCACCAGTAAACAAATAAAGGGGCTGCACTTGGGGGTGGGCACAAATTTGTGGGCAAACAGGAGTAGGCATTACTAATAGAGATGATGTCATGAGATGGTGTCATACCTACAAAGGCTGCCCTCAAAACCTTGGTCAAAGATATCATAACTATTGGCCTCAACCTTTTCCAGGACACTGAGTGAATGACTCATTCCCCCACACAGCATCCTTCCTGCTCCATCCCAGATATTCCAGACATCTCATATGCAGAAAGAACCCCAGTTGCAGGTAGGCTGCATGTATTTATGGGCACATAGGCTAGATTGGCCCAGACCGTTTTTGGTGTGGCTCTTTTGCACTCCATGAAACCCAGAATATGCAAAGGAGAAGGGCAGAGCAACCAATAAATATCCAATATCAGGTTTGCTAGGTTTGAGAAGTAGCAAGTGGGGAAGAGATGCTGAGGACTGGGATAATGGCTGATGGGTTGACTTGGAAAGCTAATAAGAAAATACAAGAAAAGCCCTGGGTTGTGGATGTTATTTCCTCATACACCCCTAATTTTGAGCTGATTTGGAAGCCTTTTTTGGCTAAGAACTTTGGCAAAAATTATTTCAACAAAATATATAAAATCAGCTCTGTACACAGCCGTCTCTGAAAAGGGGGAGTGGCCATGTGATTGACACAACATCCAGCCAATCCATGCTCAGCACAGCCAGTTCCTGCTAAAAAACAGATGAATCGGTTTCCCCCCAGCTTGATCTGTGGAAGAAGGCTGTACATGTGCCCTTAATGCTGTGATTATGATTCCACAGTGGCCCCACTGCTGTTATTAAATATGTCTTCATGCATTCTGAGTCATTAAGTGACTCCACATGAGCTGACTTTCTCTGTGACGCTACTGTCAGTGGCAGGACCTGAGTGTCCATTTTGCCATTTGCAACAGGTGGCAATAAAGTTTTTGACTAGACTATTGGCTGATCTTTGATTCCATTCTTCCTGGACTTTCAAAATGCTTGGCTGAGCCTAGAGCATCAGTGGTGAAGGCAGGAGAAATCAGTTCATCTCCTACAAAAACAAGAACTAGATCGCATTTCATCTTTTACTTCCTTCTCTTTGCTGTTTAGTTTAGTTGCAGGACAGGTAAGGAATGGAATGACAGTACTTTCATGGGGTACGCAGTGCAATTACAGAACACTAGAGACTGAATGAAAGAAGAGGTAACTTGAATGGATTGCTAGGTCCAGGAAGAGAGATGCTCAAAGGGAAGAAGGAGACCCAAGGAGAAACTGTATAGGATACCAAAAGAGGAAGTATCCTTCTAGCTAGGAGTCCTAGAAATGCTTAGAACTGGATAGCATGAGATAGGCTGGATGGTTCCATCAGTTATTCAAATATCCTTAATTTTCTCTTCTACTAATGCCCCCAGAGGCTCTGCCTCACCTTCCCAGCCAGTGGAGGTGTTGAAGAAGCCACGATGCTACCTAATATTTAAAAGCTTTCAATTATTTTAATCCATCGAAAGCTACCCTAGAGAATTCCTGTCAGCAGGAGAGAAAAAATGTGATAAATGAGCCTCTGCCTTTGTATTATTATGAGATTATACTGTTTATCCAGTTTTCAAGTTAATGTTAAGAGCAATTATGCCCGCATCTCGGGTGCTTTGGGGAGCCTTGTCCCTGAGGTCCCTGAGGATGGTTCCTTAGGATCCTTGTTGAAAGGCTAGGTCAGATTTCACCTTTTCCACCACATCTTCTTTCCTGTTCACTTTCTCTGTCTAATTCCAGGTGGGACTTTGCTCACGTTTCCATCCACTCACCAGCCCCTATAAAACAGAAGGAGTTAGACCCAGACAAAGTTTCTTGATGGAATCTCTGGCATTCCTGAAAAACCTGGTGGGAAACCAATTGCTACAACATGCCCTCCGAAATGGACTGGTGGTTTGAATCCAGAATCCTGCACCTGTCCCTTCTCTCGGATGAAAAGTGTGCATCTAGGCTTCGGTTCCATATTTGTACATTTTTGCAGAGGCGTACCTAGACTCACTTGTGCCCTTGGCAAGGAGATGTATCGGCGCCTCCGAAGCTCCGAAGCGAGACCATGGACAAGAAACTCAGAAAGTTTGCTTTTGTTTTCTTCCATCTTGCCACCCACAAAACAAATGTTTGTGTTAATTTATGTTTCAGTTTATGTGCACGTTTATGATATTGTTTTCTTACATTATCTGCTCTGTTAACACTTAATTGAAAACCCCGATAAACATTTCTTTAAAGGGAAATTAGGCAAGTTGATGGAAGATAAAGCTGAATCGTATGGTTGGAAGGGACCCTGAAGATCTTCGAGTCCAACCACCTGCAATGCAAGATGTCCCTTATGGGGATCGAACCTGCAACCTTGGTGTTATCCATACCACACTCTAACCAACTGAGCTATCAAGGGCTGCTTAGCCATGATGCCTATATGTTACCTATAGGACAAGAGGCAGCATGTACCCAGATCCCAGCACATCAGAACACAATTGGAGAATGCTCTGGCACTCATGTTTTTCTCATGAGCTTCTTGGAGGCATATGGTTGGCTACTGTGAGAAACAGGACCAGGTCGGCCTTGGGTCTGATCCAGCTGCAGGGCTCTTCTTGTGAGCTTATGGGGTTTTGCAGAATTCTTCTATACAGTGGTACCTTTGTTTTCGAACTTAATCCATTCCAGAAGACAGTTCAAGTTCCGAAACATTCGCAAATTGAAGACTCAGTACATAAGCCTCAAAATGGAAAACTCAATACGGAAGCCGCTTTTCATGTTCGACTTTTGAGGTGCGTTCGAAAACCGAAGCATTTACTTCCGGGTTTACGGCATTCGAAAACCGAAATGTTTGTCAACAGAGACGTTCGAAAACCGAGGTATGACTGTATAATGCTTCAGGTTAAGGATCAATACATGAGAAGCAGCAGATCCCAGACTCCTCTCCAGAGCGGGGAAATTTGTGATCCAAGAGTGACACAAACACAGTCTTCCCAAAACTGCCTTCCTCTCAGGATGAGCTTACACATGCTTATTCATCACTCGATAGCGGCAAAATCAAGTGATGACCTACGAATGCGAAGCAGCCATCTCAGATCAAACATCACAGCCAGAGTGCTTTCATGCTGTCTGACATCACCTGTTTAAATAGAGTCAGTTACTCGGTCATCTGAAAGTCACTGAATGATGAGATATCAGGTGATATATGCTCATCTGCGAACCAGCCCTAAGAAGACTTTCCAGAGTCCAAGCAATCTTTCAACCACTTTGTGGGCTCAGCTAGACATCCCTTTGTGTAGCTGTCCATCTGGGCAAGCATATTTGTCCCTGTTGACGGTGTGGGTCCAAAGCAGTATGGTGCAGTCAGGTTCCCATTGTCTTGTTTAATTGTCCTGGTTACATGCCCGGGTGCAGGAGATCTTTGTCGTTCAGAGTAAGCCTTATTATGCAGGGTTCCAGCTTCTTCGCCTTTTTAAGGGAACATTTAATTTTCAGCCCCATTGATGTCCTCAGGAAATCTGGCATTCTCTACACTTGGCATCCTGCAGGCCTGTAATTATCTTATATGGTGCAGAATAACGTGGCATTCAGCACCCAGGGCCTGTTGCTTCCTAGAGGAGGGCTGCCTTTGTAAAACGACGGGGCCCAGGTTTATGCCCTCCAACATTTCTCTGATGAAAATAGGGACATCCTATTCCATAATAATAATAACAACAATAATTTTGTTATTTATGCCCCGCCCATCTGACTGGGTTGCCCCAGCCACTCTGGGCGGCTTCCAACACATATAAAAACATAATAAAACATTAAACATTAAAAAACTTCTCCTAGACAGGGCTGCCTTCAGATGTCGTCCGAAGGTTGTATAGTTCCTTATCTTCTTGGCTCAAGGGTCACACAATTCCATACCCTCCGACATTTCTTTGATGAAAATAGGGGCATCCTAAGGAAAAGCGGGACATTCCGAGATGAAACCAGAAACCGGGTTGACTTCTGTAAATCTGGGACTGTCCCTGGAAAATAGGGACACTTGGAGGGTATGTGACAAGAGTCAGGAGCAAAGCAAGTACCTTAACTGCACACAGGTTTCATTGGTCCCCTGTATTCAATTACTGTAGTAGCCCTCCCCTTTCAGGGTAAGCGACAAATCCATGTACCAGACCAGTCATATATTGTCCCTTTCAGATTCTTCTTGCCAGCTCTGCCATCCATCTCCTTTTTTGACTTTAAGATACTCCGAAGACCCCTGCAGTTAAGACTCCTCCTTCTCAAACTACAGTGGTACCTCTGGTTAAGAACTTAATTTGTTCTGGAGGTCCGTTCTTAACCTGAACCTGATTTAGCCTGCGGTACCACTTTAGCTAATGGGGCCTCCCGCTGCCGCGTGATTTCTGTTCTCATCCTGAGGTAAAGTTATTAACCCGAGGTACTATTGCTGGGTTAGCAGAGTCTGTAACCTGAAGCGTCCGTAACCTGAGGTACCACTGTACACAGAAAAAGGCCCTTGCAAAGAGTTCTTGTCTCTCACAAACGTCGCTCATGGGAGAGGTACGAAGCTACCCTATCTGCCCCACAGGCCGGTGTCTGGACCGAGTGCTGTTCAGAGGTTTAATGCAACCCTTAAGAAATGCTCCAGAGGTTTCGCTGTGTCTTCTTTTTTTATGAGCTCAATAAGCAAGCCCTTTATGGAAGGGATGTGAGGAATATCCACAGAAATGTCTGCTCACACAAGAAGGGCCCTTCGCACTTTGCCACCCAGTTGGGGGAAGCGGGTGGAGATAGGGCTGCGGAGGCAACGTCATAATTTCAAACAAACAAGGAATAAAACAGGGCAGAACACCCTGACCTCTGGCAATAAAACCCGCAGCTCGGTATTGGGGTGGGGTGGGGGCTTAAAGACGCAGGCCTTGGAGCAAAACGTGTGGGAGAGCCCGTGAAACCTAATTACCATCCGTGGACAGATACATTCTGGAAGAAATCGAAAATATTTATTGCTGGCAATAACTGGCCCAGTATTACAGTTGTAGCTTGCCTTTTTATCCAACCCCCAACTTGCTTTTCTTTATTCATTCCCTCACCCCCTATCAGAATGTGAAATGCCTTGTTTGCTAGGCTGCGCAGTTTGCAGGCAAAGCATCTGCCCCTTGTGGCCTGGGGGACTTGGAAATGCCAAGAGGCCCAGAAGTGAGCATTAAAGCCAATCTCCCCCTGCCTTCTTTTCTGAATTTAGGTTTCCTGGAAGTCCTTGTACTTCAGGCCTCTCCGTGGTGAGGAACTAAGACTACAGTGGTACCTCGGGTTACATATGCTTCAGGTTACATACGCTTCAGGTTACAGACTCCGCTAACCCAGAAGTAGTACCTCAGGTTAAGAACTTTGCTTCAAGATGAGAACAGAAATTGCGCGGCGGCAGTGGGAGGCCCCATTAGCTAAAGCGGTGCCTCGGGTTAAGAACAGTTTCAGGTTAAGAACGGACCTCCAGAACGAATTAAGTATGTAACCAGAGGTACCACTGTATGTCCATACCATACTGTGAAGTGTATGGGTTGCTCGTGCGTAAATTGCCGCCTCTCCAGGCTTTGTTGCCTTGCTAAACCTTTCAGTCTGGGCAGCCCTTCACTTTGTGGCTGCCTCAGTCGCTAGCAGAATCCGTCAGTGGGCGTTTCTTAAATCTTTTCCAACATAAAAGTTGTTTGACACCCAGTCTCCTCCTACTCTCTCTGCGCGGAAGTCTTCTGCGCAGGGTGGGCGTGGGTAGCAGGGGACCCGTGCTCTCCCCGCTGGTGTCCGGTGAAGAGTCCTGGAGCCCTCTCGCCGATTCCCCCATCAGCCCCTCCTTATCCCTGGTGTAGCGCTGATTTGCTTCCCCATCTGCGGAGCTGCCTCTCTCCCTGCTGGGCCCTCATTTGAGAGCCTTCCCTCCGCCTCTAGCTCCGATGTCAGTTCCCTGACACATACATTTAAAATAAATTCTCCACATACATCCTAAAATCTTGGAACTATAGTTTACCCATCACAGAGCTATAATTCCCAGCACCTTTAGCAAGCTACATCCCAGGATTCTTTGGGAGGGCATTGTCAGATCATAGGTCTCATCTTGCTCAGTATTGTCTACACTGATTTTCAGCAGCTGTCAATAATAATAATAATAATAATACCCCACCTATCTGACTGGATTTCTCCAGCCACTCTGGGCGGCTTCCAACATATATAAAAACATAATAAAACATTACACATTTTTTTAAAAACTTCCCTATACAGGGCTGCCTTCAGATGTCTTCAAAAGGCTATATAGTTAGTCGTCTCCTTGACATCTGACGGGAGGGCGTTCCACAGAGATGGTGCCACTACCGAGAAGGCTCTCTGCCTGGTTCCCTGTAGCTTCACTTCTTGCAGTGAGGGAACTGCCAGAAGGCCCTTGGTGCTGGATCTCAGTGTTCAGTTCAATTTCAGACAGGGGGCATTCATAACTCTTAGGAAATGAACCTGAGACCTTCTGCATGCAAGGCAGATACTTTCCCACAGAGCTATGGCCCTTCCCCTGTTGGGAGAAGATGGAGTCAAAGAGGAGCTGAGCAGTCCAGTCTTCTTGATGCTGCCTGTTGGTATTTCCTCATCCTTACTGAACAGCAGGCCTACCATTTCCTTCCTCTTCTTTGGAGCTGAACAAGCTATTTCTTTGCTCTTGGCATCCCTCACCAGCTTTTTCTGAGCTTTAGCTTTTCTACCAACCTGGGCTCCTCATCTGTATTCATCCTAGTGTCCACCAGCCATGGCTTCCTTCCATTTCTGACATGTGCCTTTCTTTTATTTTCAACTCCTCACAAAGCTTTTCATGCAGCCACTCTCTGGCATTTTGAGATGCTTCCTCACTCTTGGGGGATTGTTTGTGCTTCTGGTATCTCCTTTAAGAAAACTCCCACCCATTTGGGGCTCCTTTCCACATCAATATATCTAGACATGGCATCCATCCCACGTAGCATTTCTCTGAATTTATTAAAATCTCAGCTTTCCTGAAATTCACAACACACATTTGACTATGCTCACCTTCGGCTTTCCACAGGATCAAGAATTTGGAAGCACATTGCTCCCCCCAAAGAATACCGAGAACTGTAGCGTCCCATCCCCCACAGAGCTACAATCCCAGCACCCTCAACAAACTACAGTTCCCAGGACTCTTTGTGGGAAGTAACGTGCTGTTAAATGTGCATTGGATGTGTTCTAAATGGATGGCTTGACTCTGCCTTGCTTCCCTATTGGTAAAGAACAAGTCGAGGGTAACCAGTCCCCTCATTCCTTCTTCTGCCTTGCTCTGAAAGAAGAAGTTTTCAGCAAGGCATGTCAGGAATTCACTGGAGATTCCATGCCTGGCAATATTGGTCTGCCAACAGATATCAGGGTAGCTGAAGCCCCCATCCC